CTGAGCTTTTATGAAGGATAGTAAACCTGCCCTAGCTTTTGCCCCTGACCAAAGTATTCTCTTTATTACACAAGTAACTCTCAGGTGCTTGTTTGCCAGCCATACCCTTCCCAACCCCCTGTGAGGTGTTTTCATAACCCCCACTATACCAAATTTCTATTTACATGGTGGTATAAATGAGAAAAAAAATAGCATACTTTTGAAAATACCTCATGGGGATTAGACATCATTGGCAAGTAAACATAGAAGGTCCTTGCATGTTATTTGTGTGAAACTGCAGTATGATGGACAGGAAACAAAGCAGTTCTTTGCTTTATTTGGAAAGAAAACTATCTGATAGTGTACAAAAATTCTTGGAAACAGTAGTTAGGACAAAATGCAGTTACTAGTGTCTTTGCTCATAATATGCAGAAACACATGAGTCAGCTGGAGGATTTTGTTCCAACACAGTATGTTCTCATCACTGTAACTCAGAAATGAGTATATTTAAAGAGATTTGATTTAATGGTAATCTAATTTCTCAGTAAATATATAAGACGAATAGACCATTCTTTCCATGTTATTTTGCAATATAAAGTGAATTACACCGTTTATTTTAATAGGATGCGGATGGTGGTCAGGCAAAGAATGTTGAGTGTACTCGCCATGAGGATATGTTCTAAGGTAGAGAATTGCCTGACAGTTTCCTAAAAGTGCTGGCTGGAAAAGTTGTTGGTCATTGAAGAGAGGACAGTTCTATGCATTTCAGAATAGTCGTGTTCAGATTCTTTACTCTGTTGTTTAAGGATCTTCTAAGATTTCTTAATTGCAGTTAACCATTTAAATTCACTGCTGTATTCATACAGCTTCTTCCTATTCAGGGATTAAAAGGAAGCTGTTTTTTCCCTTTCAACGTCAAAACACAGTTTTAAAGTGGTTATTGTCCCTGTTGCTTTTTAATGTTAGCAGAGAATTTTAGTTTTAACTTCAAATGAGATGCAGGTGAAATGAGAAATCTTGGGAAATGTGGATCACTTTCAACATGTTGACCACATTTCCTATCTGTAACACACCAGGAGTTCGTAGGCTTATAGCCTCTGGCCCCTGCTGCCTTCTCCCCCCTCTGCCACCTCTCCCAGCTACCTCCACTCTGTAACAACAAATAGCTGAAAAGAACAAAATGAATTGGTGTTTTCGTTCTTGTTTAAGACCCTGTAATTCTTGCTTGTCACACTATTGTAATTTACTGTCCTGCCTTTTACGGTTTAGTGTGTTGTTGTTAATTACAGTGGAATTAATTGTGACTCACATTGGGCAACTCCATCTATGCAGAGTAGAAAGAACTCCTCCTTCTTACATTTGAAACACATGTTGATATTTATGTGCAGAATAATTTAACTCTCTTCTCACCAAAGTGACTAGAAATCTTTTGGATAGGCACATCCTATGTTCTCTCCCCCACTGCCATGGAATTTGTAGTTTCCTTATCCTGCCTTTTCTAGACTTGTAAAATGAGCTGTGTACTGTTTCCTCCTAATGTATTTTTCTGTAAGACTGTGTAGAGTTGATTTTAGTTTTTCTGTCAAGGTTTGGCTAAGATCAAGTGAAGGTTTGGTAGCATTAACCACCCACACCATCTGAACCTGGAGTTTTCCTTCTAAGATAGTTTTAAACAAGGAAATCTACTTGAGCTAACTGTGTCTTGTGGAATGAGATCGTTCTGGTATATATAATTTACTCTAACTTGCTGAATTTATTGCTATAAAATATTCATTTCTTTATTATTACATCAGTATTTATAGGATAACTGTGATCTCCCTTTTGAATTCTTTGTGTGTGTGTGTGTGATCCAAGTGAGTTTTATGGGAGTTAGAAGAAGTTTCAGGTTCACACAAGCACCCGCAGCGCTCCTCACCCTCTCTACTCGGAAAGTCATGCAGTCGACTCTGGGCACTTGCCTTTTCAGTTATTCCACAGGGAGGCGTGAACGACCCTGGTTGACCCCATTGGCTGAATTGAATTTACCTGGCCTAGGTGTGCTAATCCAGGTGCAGCACCCACCCAGGTGTACCTCCCCTTCCTGGCCAGAAACCTGAGCCTCTGCTTATGCACAGTGTACCACTCCTTCATGGGCCAGTATCTCGGACCTTAAAACATACATAATGGATGCCCCAGCCCCTAAGCTAGACAACCTAACATTCCCCCCTGAAGAGCTGTGGACCCAAATCTTTGGGGTACTGGTTGACGACATCTCTACCTTTGGAATTCTTGATGTTGGCTATTTGGAACTCTTCTTTTGTTCTTTAACATGTCTCAAAAAACAAGATCACTGCCACTTAATCAATTCTGATTCATAGCGACCCTATAGAACAGGGTAGAACTGTCCCTATGGGTTTCTGAGGCTATAACTCTTCATGGGAGTAGAAAACCTTATCTTTCTCCTAAGGAGCAACAGGTGGTTTTGAACTGCTAACCTTCAAGTTAGCAGCCCAATGCATAACCACTATGGCACTAGAGCTCCTTAAGCATGTTTAATAGAAGTATATTGATATTGCTGATCCTTTCAGGAAACTAGCTTTGGTTTAAATAATTTTACCATTTTTCTATTTTCAATTTTTTTTTATTTCATCTATTTCCACCCTTAATTTTTTTATTTCTACTTGCTTTGGTTAATAGAACCCCTGTGGGCACATTGTTTAAGTGTTCAGCTGGTAACTTAAAGGTTGGCAGTTCAAATCCATCACCTGTTCCACAGGAGAAAGATGCGTTGGCCTGCTTCTGTAGAGATTTACCATCTTGAAAGCGCAGAGGCAGATCTACTTCATCTTGTAAGCTTGCTAGGAGTCAAAATCAACATGATGGCAGTAGGCTTAGGTTTCGTGTTAGGAATACACTTTTAAAAAATTGGTTTCTTAAGGTGGTAACTTAGATTGTTGATTTAAGACCTTTCTTACATACGTATTTGGTGCTATACATTTTAACCTAAGCAACAAAGTAGCTGTGTTCTTAAACTTTTATATGTAGTGTTTTTATTTGGATCAAATTGTTTTCTCTGTTTGCTTAAGATTTCTTTGATTTTTAGGTTATTTTGAATGTTTTTAGTGGGGATAGTTCCAGATAACTTTTATATTTTGAATTCTAATGTAATACTTTTGTGGTTAGACAGCATACTTTAAATTTGAGAGTGCTCTATGGTCCAGAGTAGGGTCTGTCTGGGTTCATATTCTGTGTGTACTTGTAGAGAACGTGTGTTCTGCTCTTACTGGGTGTAGTGTTTGGTATGTGTCACGTAGGTCATGTTGGTGGGAATGTTTTTCAAGTTTTCCATATCTGTGTTATGTTAATTACCAAGAAGAGTCTTGAAATCTCCAATGGTAGTTTTAAAAGTTGCAATATGTTTGAAGTTGATGGAAGTGTAGTATTATAATGTTAAGGTGATTTGGGGATTGTAAGGGATATTTATTTTAAATAACTGGTGTTTTGTTTTGTTTTTTCTTGAATGCATTGTGGAATCACACGCTTGGGTTAAAGTGTGCCAGTTAACTATGTAGCAACTCAGCAACCCTCTGAGCCTATGCTGACAGATAATACACATTTCGTGATGCGATTAGAGGGTTTAAATGAGATGGTACATATTAAGTTTTAGCATAAATATAGTGATTTTAATAATAATTTCGTATTTATTTTTTTTTAATGTGAAACCTTGGCAGCAGATGAGAATTTTAATGTTTGGTCATCCACTGACTTCTGTCTTATTCTACCTGCCTTATTCCTTTGTATATAATTTTCTTGTTGCTTTTGTATACTTTGGTTATATTGTGGAAACATTTTGTTCATAACATAATTGTACTCACTTTACAATGAATTATTTAAGAAAAAATAAGTGTTGGTATAGTAGATATACTTGAAAACTCAAAAGAAAACCTTTCATGTGAGTCATAGCAATCCTATAGGCTAGAGTAGAGCTTCCCTTTCAGGGTCTCTTTAGGAAGGCTCTACGTCTAAGAAAGCACACCGCCTTTTCTGTCTACCACGAAGCAGCTGACTGACTGAAACTGCAGCTTCTCATTTAGCAGCTGAATGCTTAACGTAGTGCCACAACATCACAGTAAATTCTATTGAACAAAAATGTCAAAATGCGACACTCATGTTTACCAGCCCACTCTCCAGCTAAGCCAATACACCTCTGGAAGCAGCATTTCCATCTCTCTAGTCCTCTTGGGAAAAATTCTGTGCTCTTCAAGCTATACCACATCAAAACGGCAGTTTTAGTATCCTCAAGAGGCGGCACATGTCCTGTTCCTGTTCCATTCGGTGTTCTTTGAGTTTGGGGAACAAAAAGAAACCTGAATGTGTCTGCTCAGGACTGTGAGGAGGGAGGGTGGGGTATCCTCAGGATGCTAGGCTGCATTCTTTGCATGTTTACAAATAGTGAGTTCTTCTCACTTGTTGGTCTTTCTGGAAACAGTTTCCCTACAGGTACCTGACAGTATATTTAATTTAAACACAACTGTTCAAATCCTCAAGGCGCCCTGGTATGTTGTAGGGTTTGTCTGTGATAGGAAAAAAATCCTCCCTGCAGTGTCCCTGCCCTTTCCTCACCAAAGCAGTCTTCTTAAAACATCTTATAACAAGCCCTATGTCATCGACCTGTTTCCTGTAAGAAAGTCTATCAAGATTACTCCTTTGGAGGCCCCCGCTCCCCAGAAAAGTAATAATCAACTTCTAATTTATCTGAAGCCACTGTTTTAACTGGACTTTCTGCTGCTGTTTGGAAGCTACCCTGAGAAGACTGAGACAAGAGCATCCCTGAGAGAGCTTGTCTACAGCGCCCCTCTGATGAGAGATTTGTTTGAACATAGATTATTGGGGGTGTTGGAGATGAGCATCAAGTAATTGGAATCCTAGTAACAATGGCTTTTTTGCTTGCGTGCTCTATGCATGCTTGCAGCACCTATGTCTGAAACACATCCTGTGTTGCTTCACTGCTAGAAGCTTAATCTGTGGTTCTGTTCCTGCAGATCAATCAAGAAAGCTGGTGTGCAATAGACCCATGCCCTGAAGCAGCATCTCTTTTGGCTTCTAAGCAGAGCCCAGGTAAGCAGAGAGATTCTCTAGCTTTCATTGTGCTTGAAGAGCGCCATCAAGTATATCCATTGCCTTGAGCCCTGAAAAAAGGAGAAGTGAATTTGTTAAAAAGCCCCTTCTGACTCCCTGTGACCCTGTGGGTCAGCACAGACTGCCCCATAGGATTGCCACAGCTGCAGCCTCGAGGAAAGCTGACAGCTGATGGGTGCCTTCAAAGCCCCAACCTTTCTGTTGTCAGCCCAGTGCTTAACCGCTATAAGTGTGTGTGTGTGTGTGTGTGTGTGTGTTAGGGGGCGGGGGTATAGTTGATTTTACAGATTTTTTTTACATATGATTTATTAAGTGATCTGTGAAGGCATGTGTACTGAGCATATACACCCTAAGGATCTTTGAATCTGCTAACACCATTAAGAAGAACTAAAATGACAGCTCGCAATCTTGACTGCACATTGGAATTGTCTGGGAGCTTTAAAAAGATATCGAGGCCCTGCGAATTTGGATTTGATTCATTTGGGATGAGATCTGCCATCAGAATCTTGAAAGGAGCTTTAGCTTAACTTGTAAGACTATGGCTGAAGGCCACAGCACTGTCAGGATTGAGTCTTCCCTTAAGCAAGCAGCCACAAGGTCCTAGGCACAAATGGTCCTGGCATGGCGTTGCATGTTACCAGGACATGTGTAGTACGTGACTTGTGGTTACTTTTTCTGAGCTTTGAACTCCCGTTCAGCCACTAAATCATTGTGACTTGAGGGACCTTCCCTAACGTCTATGTGTTCCATAGTCTCCCAGCTCTAAAGCATTACCAGCTCTTCTCTTCTGGGGGAGAGGGAAGGAGAGGAGAGTGTTGCAAGGATGACGTGTGTGGTAATCGTCAGGCTTTGCCTTTATGTCTGTTACTGCAGCTGTCATGAGGAGTCTTCTTTACCCAGCCCCTTCTCTGTTTCAAACCAAACTAAACCCACTGCCGTGGAATGAATTCCAACTCACAGTGACATAGGACAGAGTGACATTGGCCAGAGTAGAGCTGCTCCCTAGGGTTTTTGAGACTAAACCTTCACGGCCTTGACCTTACCGTGAGCAGCCCGGCACTTGACTACTGCGCCACCAGTGTGCCTTCCCGCTACTGACTGGCTCACTGTACAAACAGTGCGTTCCTCTCACTTGCTGGTCTTTCTGGAAACAGTTTCCCTACAGGTACCTGGCAGTACTATTACATTTAAACACAACTGTTCAAATCGTCAAGGAGCCCTGGCGGTGTAGGGTTTGCCTGCTAACTAGAAACTTGAGCTTCAACCTCGCCAGCTGCTCCAAAGGAGAAGGTGTGGCAGTCCGTTCCCATGTTGTCGTTAGCTGCCGTCAGGCCCATGCTGATTCACAGCGACCCTGAGAATAACAGAGCAAAACATTGCGTGGTCTGGCACCTCCCCACGAATGCTCGTATGCTTAAGCCCAGCGCTGCAGCCACTGTCCGTCCACCTTGTCAGCATTTCCTGCTGCCCCTCTACTTTACCAAGCATGATGTCCTTCTCCAGAGACTGCTTTCATGACAGCATGTCCACAATACTTGTGACAAAGTTTCACTATCCTTGCCTGTAAGTAAGTAAGTACAGCATTCTGGCTGTACTTCTTCCAAGACAGATTGGTTGGTTCTTTTGGCAGTCTGTCGTACTTGACTATTGTTCGCCAGCACCGTAATTAAATGCATCAGTTCTGCCTGGGTCTTTGTTACTCGGTGTCCAACTTGCAACTGCGCTCATACGTAATAATAAGTTGAGAAATAACTAAACTATTTGAAGACAAAAGGAACCCTGCCGGCAGAGTGCTTGCCTGATATTCCACAGGTTGGTGGTTCAAATCCACTCGTGCTTCAGTGGAGAAAGAGGTGACAGTCTGTTTCCTTAAAGATTACAGCCCTGGAAACTCACAGAGGCAGTTTTACCCAGCCCTTAGGGTCGCTGTGAATCAGAATTGACTCAACAGAGACAGTTTGGTTTTTTATTCAAATCCTCAGTCTCTAGATAGTTCCTATTGAGGCTGAATTCTTTGATTTTACTGCAAAGGAATTATTGGAAACAATGAAAAGTGTTTTTCTCTACTTCACATGGAAAAGTGAATATCACTCTATTTGGGTCCTCCAGATTTTATAAAATGGACCCTGTTTGCAGATTTAACTGATACTTCTCCCATTTTGCCCCTGAGAATTTTCTACTTAAAAACATGCTTTCTGTGTTTTGGTTCCTTAAGCTGTTAGGGAATTTTTCTGAAAGTGCAATGACTCTTTACCACTTAGTGAAACCTTCTGCCCTAAAGGTTAAGTGAAGTTGCCTCACAGTTAGAATGCCATCAGAAAATATCTCCATTACATTGCAGGTTAATTCACTTATTTAAAGAAATTAATTCTGAGCCCGCAGCATTTCCCCACAGCCTAGTCTTGAACTTTGTAGAATCTGGTCAGTACCTTGACCTGCAAGCACAATAATTTGGCCTTTTAAAAGTGGTTCTTACCAAGGGCTCTGTGTTAGTCTGGGTACTTTAGAGAAACAAATGCACAGAAACTCATATATAAGAGAGTGTTTTATATAAAGGTTAAGTGCACATCAAGAAAACATCCCAACCCAGTTCTGCCCAAGCCCACAAGTCCAACATTAACCCATATGTCCGACACCAATCCACAAAGCCCTCCTCCATCTCACAAAACACACACTATGACACCGACTGCAGGAGGAAATCCGAGTCAGTGAACTTGTAAGCATCTCAGCACTGGCAGGGGTCTCTACATGGCTGCTTCAGCACCCAGGGCTGCATCGGGGTAGGTCCATGTGGCTTCTCCTCGGGGATGTCTTGCAGGAAGTGAGCCTCGCCAGCTGGAGCAGGGAAGTGGCTAAGGCAGCAGCACCCTGGTACGACCATCACAAAGCAAGAGACCCGAGAACTAGAAAGTCTATGGGCTCACTGACCCATTTATCCCTCCGCCCTTCACTTAACCCCACATGTGTTTATTGGTCAGGTTGGCACAATAAACTTTAACTCAGGCTCAATAGAAAGTAAATGTCTAGAAAAGAATAATGGCAACATATGTACAAATATCCTTGATATAATTGATGTATGGATGGCCATGAGTTGTAAGAGCCCCCAATAAAGTGATCTTTTTTTTTTCCAAAAATTGATTCTTTTTAAGTCTTTAGCAAAATCATCAGATTTAAATGTTAGTACAATTTATTTTGAATCAAGTATGTTCAGTACTGCAGATTTCTTCTCTTCACAAATACGTGCTTGAGATGAGTAATAACATTTGGACCAAATAAGATACTATCTTTGGAAATCACATTGTCTGTTCTTCAGTACTGAATAAATGGAAGATAGAATTATGATTAGTGTGGCCTAACAGAGTCCACTGCGGTGTGTTTTCCTGCCCTTCCCTGACTACAATGTGTATGCTTCTGTACCGTTTTAACTCGAAAACAATTCCATGGGATCTTACAAAGTATGCACTGTTTTCTGCTAAGGGTGAGCCCTGGTGGTGTAGTGGATACTCAATGGGCTGCGATCCACATGGTCGGCAGTTCAAAACCACCAGCAGCTCTGCAGGAGAAAGACTGGTTTTCTACTCCCGTCGACAGTCACAGTTGGAAACCCACTGTGGGTCGCTATGAGTCAGCTTTGATTCTATGACCGTCAGTTTGGAGCTTTCTGAGCATTTTCTGGGACTGGCTCTGCTAGCCCATCTTCAGGGGATTGTTATCATGAGCTACTTCGTGACATACACATTATGAGTTAATGAAGCCTTCACTCCATTCAGTATATTTGTAATGTGCCTATTACAGAATCAGAGTTCAGGTCACATTAAATTGAACCAAACCCCAAATCTGCTGCCATCAAGTTAATTCTTAGCATCCTTGTAAGACAAAGTAGAATTGCCTCCAGAGGGTTTCCAAGGCTGTTAATCCTTCTCTTGAGAAACAGTTGGTGGGTTTGAACCACCTACTTTTTGGTTAGTGTACAAGCGCTTAACCACTGTGCCAGCAGGACTCCTTTAGGGCAACATTATCAATTTATTATTTGTAAGTGTCAACACAAAACACACACACAGGTATTAAGTTGATTCTGACTCATAGTAACCCAATTTGGGATTTCTAAAGCTGCAAATCTTCACATGAACAGGTAGACGCCCTCGGCTTTCTCCATAGAGCAGCTGGTGGGTTTGAAATACAGTACACATCTTTTGGTTAACAGGCAATGCTTAGCCCACTGCACCACCAGAACTGCTTAAACTGGGGCTTACAGGGCCTAAATTACTTTCTTGTAGCTTAGGTTAAGATATCTTTTTTGGCTACCAAGTACTCAGGTCTAATTTTAAGCCAGTAACTCTAAAACCAGTGCGCTTTCCTCTTGTTTGTAGCTTGATTTAAAAAAAACAAACTCACTGAGTTAATTCTGACTCACAGTGGCCCTGTAGGACAGGGTGGGGCTGTCCCTTTGGATTAATGAGACTATAAATCTTGGCAGAAAGCTTTATCGTTCTGGTGGGTTCAAACTGCTAACCTTGCCTAACCCACTACACCACCCGGGTTCCTGGACCTTAAAGAGCGTTACAGTTTTATTTATTAGCAAGGGGACTGGAAGGAGGAAAGAAGAACTTTCTTTGATTTTGAAATCGCTAACATGTGCTTTAAGGCATGGTATAGCTTTGGGTGGGGAGAGTATTGTTTCCTGGTTGCCTAGTTCTTCGAACTCTCTTCCCTCCTCCTGCCCGCCAGTAGTCATCATCATCTCACACAGCCAACTCTTCTCATCCCAGACTCGTTTGTGGTCCCTGGTCATTGCTGGTTCCCATTTATTTTCTGGGTGAGCTCTTCCTCCCAGGGCTGAATCTGGATCTTCTTTACGAATTTTCCATCAGACTCTCTCTGAGCTGGTTTGTTTTCAGTCTGGAATTTGGACGTGGTCTGCTTGACTGCCAGTTGGACCGCCTGGTGCTCAGCGCGGTTGCTGTGACAGCCCTTTTCTTTTCTTGGCCAGCCCCCCTCATCTCCCCACTACCAGTGAATGATGTGTTTGGTTTTTGCAAGTGGAGAAAGGGGATGGAGTAGAAGAATCGCACTCATCAACTCCACCTGTTAGTACAGATGCTAAGAAAAGCTAAAAAACCCTCCAGGATACGCATGATGTTTGGAAATCTTTTAAAGGGAACGCCATCCTCACGGAAATAGCACCCTCAAATAGTTAGGGTCAAGTCTGAAATGAACTTAGGGCTGTTTGGTTTTGGTTTTGTCAGCTGAATGTGTGCATAGTTACTGTTTCAGATTAACCCATGGGCCTTGCCTGATATCCTGTGTCTTCTTTTCTGTATTTTGTTGGAAATTGCTTGTAATATGCCCATTTACCCCATAAGGTGCCCCCCCCTAATACACATGGCAGTACAGTCTTGTTTTTGCATGTGGATTTGCTTAGTACCTAGCCAGGTGCCAAACTTAATAGAAAAGGCCATTTTATTAACAATGGATTCATTCAGCACCTCCTTGACCCTTCCTCTTATTATTTACCTATTAACTGTCAATTATCAGGTAAGATCAACTTCTTCCCACTATCTCTTTAAACATATAAAGCATACAGAACCACAGCTACTATCCAGCAACACTCCTCCCCCCCCCCCCAAAAAAAAAAGGCAGAGTCAAAAGTGGCATTGTAGTTAAATCTCCAATTTCCCTCTCTGTAGACAACTTTTTCGAGACTGAGACACAGTCATGCAGCCTCTGTGCAATGCATCTCATCAAATAACAGCACTTAGTAAGGCTGTCCGTAGTGACTTGCTGTGCCTTCCACTCACTGGACTTGGTGCTGCCTTCTGGAACAGTGCTTAACATTTCTACTTACTGTTCATGGGATGACTGTCCCTGGACACACTCATCCAGTTCCTCTGTAAGTAAAATGTATCTCAAGTCTTTCCACAGTTGGGTCTTAATGGCCACACTTGCATCTGAGATCTGTTTATCAATGTCTTAATTAACACATGTTATCTAGAAACAAAAGAAATGTGTGTGTGTAGGGGGGGGTTCTGGCTAGCACATGGCCATTTTGGCTTTGAGTACACTATCCATTAATACGGGATCAAAAGATTAGTGGGTGGGTGGGGGGGGGGTGTCTTAGCCTTTAGATTTTCTCCCAAGTGCCTTGCATGATCAGCTCCTTTGGAATTTGTTCCAATTTTAAATAAAATCAATTTTACCTTCCAAGGAGGTTGAACCTACCTTGAGTTCTTGGTTGTACTATGAATCTGTTTAACCCAGTCTCTACTAAATCACATGTCCCTTTTGTCTACAAAGATAAAAGGAGGTGATAGGCTGAATATCTTCTTAAGTGTAAGATTCTATGTCTGTAGGATTCCTTAATACACACCAATATAATAAAAATAATAATAAAAAATATAAACCAATATAATATTTCTGCCAAGGTCTCCTTCCTCCTATGGAGCAGAGTCCCTGCCCTACTCGTTGAGTAAAGAACAGATTCCAGGTGATACATTTTCATACTTTGACATATTATTCTTCCGAAATCGAGTCACACTAGAAAAGTTGAATTGTTTATATATATGTGTGTGTGCATCTATGTTAATATTAAGTTCTAACAGTTTTATGGCATGTAGTTCACATACTATATGATTCAGTGGTTTAAGCATATTGAAGAGTTGTGCATTCATCACCACAGTCAGTTTTAGAACATCTTTTTCATTCTTGTCCTCGTTGTTACTGGTTCCTCCGTTTCTCCCAACCTCTTCTGCCATAACTCTTAAGAAACTATTAATCCATTTACAATCTCTATAGATTCACCTATCCTGGATTTCAGATAAAGAAAAGCATACCCCCCAAAACCCTAACCTAACAACAGCAAAATGAAACAGAGAAAAACCTAAATCAAAAGGAAAACAGAAAATAATATAAACTAGAACAAATTTTAAATGAGTCAGAAGAGAGAACAAATGATAAGGTATTAAATTTTAACCTAATTCAGGCCCCGCAAAATTAAAAGCTCACTGTTATTGAATCAATTAAACTCAGCAACTGTATAGTACATCTGCCTGCCCTAATCCACACCATTGTTCTCTGTGTGATACAGCAAGGCTTCACATTCCTGGACTATGGTCAGAGAGGATATATTAGAGGCTTTATCCACACGGGGACCCTGCAAATGGATTTGGGGCTTTCACTGTTATCCATAGCTTTCTGAAAAACTCTGGTTCTCAGAATTTAAGCTCTAATACCAGTCCTTCCTCCAGTCTTGGATTTTATTACCGTGCATTCTCAGGTATAGGCCGAGTTTTTCAGCACATTTTTATGCAGTTTTTGTGGTAAATTTAGGTGCCTCGGCTGATATTGGGTCAGCTTATACTCAAGTAAATATAGTACTTACAGTCCTTGGATCAGACAGGCTGGTAGGCTTCTTCTGTCTAAACTAGTTATACTGTTGCTATTATTAAGCAATAGAACCCCTCATGTTAATAAAACTTAAATGTTTCTTAGATATATTCCTCTTTGCCTTTTATCCTAGTATTTTGATAAAATAACACGTTTCCAGAAGAAACTTAGTCTCCAAATAGGGATTGGCAACATACCCAACCATGTCGTTTCCTAGTAATAAACTCTGATTTGGGTGACAAAAGAAAAATACTTGGAGGAAACCATTACCACTGGGGTACCTACGTATACATGAAATCATGGTTCTGAGTCACCATTCTCTTGCTTTATACCCACCGTCTTATATGGCCAGCGCGGTAACTGTCAGCAACCCAGAAAAGGGTTGTCAGAGCTGGAAACTGAAAATTTGGCCAAGTGTACTTTATGTCTTCTTACCAGTTTGAAAAAAAAAGAAGAAGAAAATTTAAAAACATCAGTTCCTGGGGTGAAAAGAAATAAAAATGTTACATTATATGAAATGTTGGCGGCTCATGCTATCTTTTTCAGAATGCGAGAACTTCCTAGATGTTGGGCTGGGCAGACAGTGTACCTCATCACCAGGTGGCCTGAAACGAGAATCTGTGAGCGATTCGGACCTCTTCCACTCCCCCAGCGATGAGATGGATAGCATCCTCTTCTCAAAGGTAAGGTGGTGGCAATCAGGGACTCTTGCTAGTAAGTCATGATCCAGTTAGCTGTACAGGGTCGCAGTCAGGCTCTTGAATGATCTTACAAGAATGTAAAATGTTCCCTCATCAGGAAGGAAACCCCAGACTACCGAGGGCTTAAAAGAAAGCTTTAGTTTTCTGCAGAACCATAACTAGCTAGTTATGTGTAGCTTGAATAGTTAGCTCACATTGAAGCGTGAAGAAATGGAAATTTCTTTCTTTTGAAGTAAGTCGGTTAACAGTGGGCCAGACGGAACCACAGCTCAGACTACATGATGTCATGTGTATAAAATAACAGAGAGTCATTTCTGATTTATGTGTTTAGGCCTGAAGCTCCCTGCTGAGATTAGTGATATCACCTCTCCTCATCTAGTGTGCTTAATTGGAACTTTCTGGATCTCTTGCTAGGGAACTTTTGAACCTCTTTCCCTAGTAAATAGTCCATCCGCATGAAATCACCTAATGTGTGTGTATCATTTGAGGTGGTAGGAGGCAGGAGGGAGGTGTGGGGTGGGAAGGGAGGTGTTTGCTTTCTTCTCCTTGTGTTTGTATCTAGTTGCAATGAACTTTGTTTTGCAAAGAGTTTCCCACCACAGAGACAGCAAATAGTGCTCAACTATATGCCACAAGCAATCTTCTCAATACTAAAAGTGTGCAAGCAAAGGAACAGAAACACTGGGTCAGTTGTAAAAAAATAAAATCTACTTTCTTATGATTTTGTGAGGACTTTGGAGAAGGTAGTATGTGCAATTAGATTAGAATGCGATTAGATTATCCAAAATCGTGTGATGTAGCTGCTTAGAAATTAAAGCTATGGAATTTTGGTCTGGAAGGTGGTACTGTCAATACCTTCATTTTTTAAAAAAAATCATTTTATTGGGGTCGTACAACTCTTACCACAATCCATCGATCCATCCATGGTGTCAAGCATGGTGTCATCATCCTCAAAACTTTTGCTTTCTACTTGAGCCCTTGGTATCAGCGCCTCACTTTTCCCCCTCCCTCATGAACCCTTGATAATTTATAAATTTTTATTATTTTGTCATGTCTTACACTGTCTGGCGTCTCCCTTCACCCACTTCTCTGTTGTCTATTCCCCAGCCTACCCTTCCTTTTTGTCCAGGACTCCCATTAGCCTTCTTTAGCCCTTTCCCACTTTTTCCTTTTCCTTTTCCTTGTCCATATCTTCAAAGGAACCCTTGAACGCACAGTGGTTATAGCACTTGGCTCCTAACCGAAGAGTCAGTAGTTCAGACCTACTAGCCACTCCACAAAAGAAAAATGTGGCAGTCAGCCTCAGCAACGATTGCCGCCTTAGAAACACTATGGGCCAGTTCTTCTCTGTCCTCAAGGGTCCTATAAGTCAGACTCCACGCCAGGACATTGAGTGTTTGACTTTGTTTTATTATCTTGTAGAGGTTCATTAAAAAAAATTTAGTGGAAATGTCAGGACTTCTGTCATTGTTACTTAGAGCAAGCTGACTCAAGGCATTTAGTCTAGGAGAAATCCACATATTGGGAAGATCTACACTTCTCTGAACAAAACAAAAGTACAGTTTGTTTTGTTTTGTTTCACATCAGAATTTGGGTACTTTACAATGTGACTTTCTAAAAGATCTTGTAATACCCCAGGGGAATACCATTCTACAAGGGGATGCCTCTAGAAAGAGACCACTTGTGTTTGAGAGAAGCAGATAAGATCCATTCTTCATGTTCCAGCTCTACTGGCGGAAACTTGTCATGCATGGGAATTTGTTACATATTTATATGTGGTTGATTGATGTTTTATTCCTAAGTGAAGAGTCTCCATTAGAGAAATGCCTACTGACTGCTTCTTGGGTATGTGACAGCTTGTCCTGGGTATACCTTCTCTGCAGAATGATAGGTATTTCCAGCCTCTGAATTGCACGACTGGCTAAAGAGAAGCAGAATTTTCTGTACTCAGCCATTTTACTCAGTCAGCCAAAAGCATTTCAGAGACTGTTCCTGTAAATGACTTGTGCCAGATTCAGTAGTTCTTTCAGGGTGACTTCCTAGATGGATACAATTTTTTTCTTAATTGTAACATGTTCCCTATATACACTTTAACCTACCTGTCACACCAGAGAACCTGGGCAAACCAGAAATGATGGCTATACCTTTCACCTTTTCACCGATATCCTAACATGCCCAAGTGACTTGGGAAGAAACCAGAAGTGTATTTCAAACTCTGACTACTTCCACTCCACCACCGTTGTTTCTGCCCAGAGGAGGCTTTGCACAAAATGCAACCTCTAGCATTGACACACCAGAGGGCTTATAGACGCAGGAGTAGAAGAGAGATTCACTAATGCAGTGACAACCTCGGTTGTCGAATGGATCCCAGCTCAAACTTTCCAAAAAGTTTGAAAAAATCTGCTCTTATGTTTGTAACTTTGCTCAACAGTCAAACGAAACATCCAACTGGGAAAACCCGTGCAGGCTGAGTGGTGAGTCAGGCGTCACAGATGTCTCCCCGCCTACAGGGTGACACTCCCACAGGGTGACACTCCCGGCACAGCGCTGCTCTCATTCAGACAGCAATGGTGCTTGTGGTAGCACATTCATCACTGTGCTTTTTCTGTGTGCTGAATTGCATAAAACATCCATTTTATTTACTGTATTGTTTTGATAGTTAATGTATTTAGATGTTTTAGGGGTATTTCTATGACCTAGGGCTGTTAACTTTGTGTTGAAGTCCTAGAAAAATGAATTTATAAGTGTAATTTGGGGACCTCAGAACCAATTATTTGGTTTTCCATTATTTCTTCCAGGAAAAATATGCTTAGCTTTCAAACTTTTCGGTGTTCAAACATGAATGTGGAACGATTTGAGTACAACAGCCAAGGTATCACTGTGTTCCTGAAGAGATTTCCAAATTCTAGGCAGTCTACTCTCACTGCGATCAAGTAATTTCCAACGCATAATGACCCTAAAGGGCAGAATCAAATAACCCCAGTGGGTTCCCAAAACTGCAACTTAAAAAAAAAAAAAGAAAAGAAACTTTTTACAGGAGTAGAAAGCTGCATGGAGTGGCTGGTAGCATTGAACGGCTGATCTTGCAGTCTGTAGCCCACCACATAACCTACCTATACCCCCAATACCCCGTATTCTAGGCACTGAACTCAATGCTTCTATGCAGGTATTCTCATGGCCTCCTCCCAGCACCTCTGCGCAGCGGTGGTAGTGTCCTCCTTTTACAGACGGGCTGCGAAGGTGGAATTAAAAAATAATGTAACCTTTCCAAAAAGTTTTGAAGCATCCTTGTACTTCCCTGAAAACATGGAGGCTCTACTGGGTAAAGAAAAGCCAACCAGACTCCCTGTCAGGTTGATGCCAGCCTCTCACGACCCTGTAGGCTAGGTTAGAAGTGTCACTGTCCATGTGGGTATCTGAGATGGTAACTGTTTACAGGACTAGCAAGCCCCGTCTTTCCCAAAATTAGTGTGCTATAAATGTACCTAGGTTGGCAGGACTGGAGTTTTGGGGGAATTTTGCTCTCAATTAATCAAACTTCTTTCCTGTGAAAGTGGTTCAAGTAGAAGGCTGTTGGTAGCCAGCCACCAACAACTACCATAACGATTTTCCTTAGTGGTCATCTGCAGAAGTGTCCCAGAGTTTCTCCTTGGGGCAGTGGTTCTCGACCTTCCTAATGCCGCGACCCTTTCATATAGTTCCTCATGTGGTGGTGAACCCCCAACCATAACATTATTTTCATTGCTACTTCATAACTGTAATGTTACTACTGTTATGAATCAGGCGACCCCTGTGAAAAGGTCGCTCGACCCCCAAAGGTTGAGAGCCACTGGGTCTAGGGTCTAGCCCTCCTCTCTCCCATCTCTGAAACATAAACTATAGGCAAGACAGTGTGGCATCGTTTCCTGTGGCCTGTGAGTGGTTGCTTCGGTCACTTCCTGCTATCTAGTTCATGACTGGCCTTCGAGGGGTCCCTTTAACAGTCTTCAGCACTGCTCATGGATTTTTTTACTTTAACCTTTTCTTGTCTTTGTGTGTATCTCCTGGCAAATGGTATCCTTGGTGGATTTTATGAGCTTTGTGTTTATTTTTAAGGATATTTGCCAGTTTCTCAGTTCTGTCTTTTCCTGAGCTCAACGCCACATTTCATTTTAAGAGTGAGAGGAAATCTGGGATGTTTTTTGGCAATAGGTGTGAGAGAAAGTGTGATCATAAAATACATATGATGCAGACCACCCTGTGTATAATCCAAAAGAATAATTAATTGCAGCTTATAGATAGTAATAGTTTCTGTCTTTTTTTCCAGAGAGAGAGAAATCAGAGTTTTCTACTCGTGTGTGTCATTTTATTCCACGAGCACCCCCTCGGTTATAAAAGTATCTACAATTGGTTAAAAAAATCAAAGCAAACTCTTAAACCTCTCACACTTTAAATCAAAACGGAATAATCATTTAGCTAAGCCAGAGGGGAATACAAGGTTTTCCTTGAGCATTATGCGGCTTTCAGAACTCTCCGTGTGGGATAAAATTGACAGCAGCAACCCAAAAGATTGGCTAGAAAATTTAAGAGACAGTTAATTTATGTTAATGAAGGAGGAACAACTCCAAAACGGGGTGAGAATGGTTGTCGACCCTGAATAATATAGGCAGGGTCACCCAGAGGCATGTGTAGAAACTGCTGGATGGATGTGTGCGGTCGGAGCTCTGCTGGTGGAGTGGTCACTCTTTGGGCTGCGAGCTGCAAGATCAGCAGTTCTAAACCACCACTGCTGGGGTTGGCGACTGACGGGCTTTCTACTCCATAGTGACCGTCTCGGAAACTCACAGGAGCAGTTCTCCCATCCTGTCCGTTGACTTTGAATCGGTATTGACTCCATGGCAGTGAATGAGTTTGCTGTGTATACCCTCCTCAATGACAAAATACATAGAATTATATTTTTTAATATTAAAAAGGAATCCCTGGGGGCCAGGGGAAGCCAGAAA